TGCAACAGAACTCATTTCCTCAGTCCTTATATCAGCAAGCCTTTTGCAACTATATGCTGGGTTTGCTGACTCCTAAGGGACACTCCTTTTGTAAAAAAAAAAACTCTGAAAAACACAGTAAAACATTCACAAACTTTTTAAAAAAATGAGGAGGGGAAATTGCATTCTTGCAGAACACTGTCCAGCTCATATTTAGCCCAGCATACTGATATCCCACTCTTGTCAATTTCCTTCCCAATGTTCAAAGTTTTTTTCTGCTGCTCCTGCTGCCGCCATGTCCATCCCAACCTTCCACTGAAGAAAATGAAGCATCTAACTAATGAGGCCATCTCTCCTCTGCTGCCACTGAATACTAAACAAATATATTTTGGCAGAGTGCATGTGCAAAAGAATCCTAAGCCTCTATTTGAAGCACATTCCCTCTCACCCTCAGGAAAAAGAATTGCGTGGAATAGGAAGGAGGAAAAAGGGCTGGATATTGTATAGGGTAACCATCTCCTGGGGGTAGGAGGAAGATGCTAGAAAATAACTTTATTAAAGAATATTTCATCTTACCCTAAGTAAAAATATTGCCTTCAAAGATCTTCTTTTCTACATCTTTTTGCATCTCTCCCACAAAACCAAAATAATTTTCAACCCCTAATGAATGCGAGAATACATTCTCAAGCTTTTAAAAACCTGTCTTCCCCCTATGGACTTGTAGTCTTGAGCACAAGCTCAAGATCACCTTTCCAATATTTGGACAAATATATTCATGTTTGCTTTTCTCAATATCCCCCACTTCCTAGCTTTTCTTGCCACTGAACACCATTTTAGAGCTGTTTCACATTAATCTGAACACCCAAAATACCTTTTCTTCCGCAGCCACCGGCACTTTTAGCTTCCCCACCGCCCTTTGTCCTTTCTTGTTTTCCTCAACTGGTCTCCATAGCTTGCTGTCACATTTTTATAGGAGTTATGGAGTAGTTAGCAGGCTCATTAAGCACACACAAATATAATGACAAAGAAGTAACAATAAGGGGAACATTGCACAAATCTCAAGGCAGATCAATAAAACAAAGGGGGAAATGGCACAAATGTCAAGACAGTAGTATAATGGAGGGGAAATTTAAACAAATTTCATAACAGTGGACTTTCACTCCTGTACACTTGCACAGGACCATAAAAATGAAAGTGAACTTACTCAAGACGTTTGCCAGTGTCCTTTCTTCTCTATTTTTAGATGAAGAGAGCATCGAGAAGAAATGACAGAGAATGAAAGCAGCACTATTGAGACTGCAAGGAATGCTAGGACCTTTTGTCACTCTTGCCAGGCAGCTCTCTGGTCATTCCTGAAAACTGAAGATGAGGTTGCCCTGCTTGGTTCAGATGGGCAGGAACAGCCTTAACAGGTATGGGTTCTCACGAAGGTCTGCTCATGAGAAATAAGCTATCCAGTGGAAACTGTACTGGGTTCAAACAACACAACATGGTAGGCTGATGTGTTGCATGAATTAGGGCTTAGAACAGCCACTGTTATCATACATACTTTAAAAAAAACTTATAGCAGTGACAGTCTTCTCTAAAATATACAATTTTGTTATTTTAAAGAAGCTGTGAATTATATTTATAATGATTTTCCAGTTTATTTTACTCATAATGTTAAAAACACTTGATCAACTACACTATTCAGTATATAAACAAAGTGATTCGTAAGTGTATGTTGTAACAAAAGGTGTTAAACCAGTAGGCTCTTCTGCATAGATTAATAAATTAGAAACACCAATAAAACCATTAAAGCAGTTTGTAGGTAAGTTCATAAGATGTAATAACCCACAGTTTACTAGCCCAGCTTTTGCTGTTAGATATCTGTGGGCTAACAGGAAAAATACCATAGTCTAATATTTCTAAGTAAGTAAAGAAAACTATTTAACCTCACAGATGGCTAGTAGTGTGTGTGCGTGCATGTGCACGCATGTGAAGAAAAAGATTCAAACCCATGTGGTACTGTTTTTCATTTTTTCAATATCCCCGACATAAAATGAGAAAGTCATTTTAGGGTTTTAGAGACAGTCTAACTGCTGATTAGAAATCTTCTACTTCCCAATAACATTATCCACAAGTCTCTGCTATTTCCCTCTTTATCCTGTTGGGAGGTAAGTCTATTCCAATTCAAATAGGAATTGTCTGCATTTTCCTTAAAGAACTTGCTTAAAGTCTCAGCAAGATCAATATACAAATGAAATGCTACATGTAAATATTCTAAGATAATCAAATTACCACAACCAACTATTGGATGCTATCTAGTAACACCAGGGCTTTTTTTGTCATAGAACACACCGGAACGGCGGGCATTCCGGCACCTTTTTTTCAATGGATTTTATAAACGGGTGTAGCAGATCAGCAGCAAACATCATTAACATAGTGCCTGCAGGCTGCTATTGTGTCTGCTATCTGATAGTGAGAGACTGCTCCGGGATTGGTGTGTGTGCTTACTGCCAGTGGGGACCAGGGACATGGGTTCCGGCACCTTCCTTCCTTCCTTCCTTCCTTCCTTCCTTCCTTCCTTCCTTCCTTTTTTTTACAAAAAAAGCACTGAGTAACACTATAACCCCTAAAAAGAATAAGCTGTGGATGAAGAAAGAAAAAGGTGTGCTTTCAACTAGGAGATAGAATCCAGCATGAAGAGAAACAAGTTATGCAATACGGCTTGGAAGTATAAACACACTATGGAATGCTATAAAAGGGAAATACAAAATGTAAAATCAAAATTAAACTACTTAGACTGCAGTCCTATACTTAGAATTGTAGAGTAAGACCAGTTGAACTCAGTGGGACTTACTTCTGAGTAGATGTGCATAACATTGCACTGGTAGAGCATATTTCCAGAGCTCACCTCCAGAAAACCACAGGAATATTTGCTATGGGAGTTGCTTTCAGAGTTTGTGATCCTAACCCAGTGCATATGAAAAACTAGTACAAACCATACAGGTCAGTTTCCCATATTTGATCAAGTATACTTCTATCCATAATCACATGTCTAATTACTCAACTTTCATTCAGATAATGTCAAACTGTAATTAAACTGGTTTCATTTTATTAAGAATCCTACCTCATTCAAATTCACAATAATATATTGATAAGTCCGATATTTCAATGTTTCCTCTAATGAAGTCAGGCTGGGAGGTAAGTCTATCCAGCAAATCCAAGGCTGGACAAAGTTAATTTTTAAGTTTCAAGTCTAAAATTGTCTCCATTACCACAATTGATTTCAGATCTTCCAGCACTTTGTAAATAGCGTAAATTAAAGGAAATGTTTATCACATCATTAATAATTTAGATGCAATTTAAATTCAATATTCATCTCACAACCACACTGAGGCAGATCCTGTACATTCATATTATAAGGACAGATAGCTATGTGACCATAGTCACCTGACCTGAACAGGAACTCAAGTCTTCCAAAATGAAATGTAGAAGCAACTTCATGTTACAGCTCAGTTCCACATCAATCACATTTCACTTCAAACAATGCAAACTGTTTAGATGCTGAACATTCAGTCTGGGCAAACTTACAATACCTGACAGAGTACTTTTGCTAAAATGAACCTACCCATACTCTGTGATTAACATCTGAGGCCTTCCTCAGAGTACCTCTTCCAGGACTGAAGAACAGCCTCTCCAAGAAGTATGTCTGGCTGCAACATTGTTATCTGTATTAATGTTTTAGTGTTTTAATGAAAATTATTTAACTCTTTTGTATGTTTTGTTTGTTTTACTGTAAGTCACTTTGGAGCTCTTTTAAGAGAAAGGCAAAGAAGAAATTCTAATAATAACAATATCATCAATATTAAATTATTATTTTTAGTCAGCACCTAGGTCAGTCTGCTCAGAGACTCTTCCAAAGACAATTACTATCTGAAACTCAGTCGTAACCAAGCTGGAATTAGAAACAGATCATTTCAACACTACAGTTATTATACATCTAAGTTATTGGGACCCTTTTCATCATTAAGTCAGAAACTGACTATTCAAAAGCAGTAGCCAAAAGGAGTCAAAGAAAGTCATTAACATCTTGTGTCTCTAGGAGTCCCTTCAAAAGGAAGTGAGGCAGGTGGCTATGAAGAGGGAGGGCCTTTTCAGTTGAGGCACTCCAAGTGTGGAATAAGCTCCCCAAAGAGTGGTGTCTGGAACCTACTTTGTATTCCTTTTGGCAGCAAGCAGACCTTTCTACTTGGTCTTTCTAATAAAAGACCTTCTTATATTTCCAGCATTTTAATAGTTTAACTTTATCTTTATATAATGCATTCTATTCTTTTCCACTGCCATGCTTCTATGTTGATGCAATTGCTAGTAAGGTTTTGTTGTTTTAAATTTTTTGTTTGCTTTTAATTTCTTTTTTAAATGTTAACTTTGTTAATTGCCCAGAGAGCCTTGACTATTAGGTAGTATCAAAAGGAAATAATAAACAAAAATAGGTATGCAGCAAAATGTCACCCTATGACAACAGCTTCCAGGCAATGCTTTTATTGCACATCTGTCATCCATACTGATGAAATGGTACATAATGTAGGTTTTCCAGAATATTTTCTATTCTGGGTAATTTGCATGAGAAAATGTTTGTATTGAACATTTTCCAATGAAAGATGGATTCATTTGCACTGCTGTTTCCACAGGAAAACTTTCAGGAACTTCTTAATTCCATTTGAAAGTGAAACTACATAATTACCACTGGAAACTAAATTTGTCTGTTTACAATGCAATCAGGTCGGTCAAGTAGAGAACTTAATTGCTCTGGACTATTTATAAACTGAAGATAGAATGCTGGGTTACATTTGCACCAGTCTTCAGTCCAATACCTTGAAACGAACTTTTAAATATGTGAAGAAAGTCTGATATATGCATTAAAACTGCAGTAGCCCTTTTGTACCAGAACAAAGACTTTTTTAAACACAAATTTAGAAATTGTTGCATTATATGACTTAAAGTACATCTGAAATAAAGTTGCACTAAAATCTTACCCATCTCTTCCTTTGCTGACAATTTTAACTTCAAAATAGTATATTCCACAAGCAGCAGGTATGGGATGTGTAGCTCGAACAGATGCAGCATCTTTTGGTGTTTTTCCATGGCCTGCAAAATACAATTCAGCATATAATATTTAGTAAAATTAAAGAGTGACGATAAAGCAGCTATCAAATGAGGTATATGTGATACTTATAAGATTCAGTTATCATAATGGCAATTCACTAAAAACCAAGATCAAATAAGCTGCAAAACATGCTTAATTTAAAAATGTAATAAGCCTTTACAGTTGATCATCTACACATTTCAAGCTCATGCACGTAAAGTTAAGCTATGTTTTCATTTAAGCTACATCAAACTGGTTCTTTGTTTACATAGACAAGACTCTTAACTCTGTGATCCCAGTTTGCACGTCACGCTCAGCTTTGCAGTCTTGATCTAATAAACCAGGATATGCATTGTGATGTACATGCACTAGCAACCCCATTCTTGCCATTTCACTCCTTCCTTTGTCTGCAGCAAAACAAGACAGGATTTAGTTTTTAAACATTGAAAAATGGGGCCTATATTTAAATGTTTCCAAAGAAGCCATGATTTAGCTTATGAATCCTAGCTTCTTTGAAAAAACCTAACCACATTTCCCAGTTCACATAGTGGGAAGTTTTGCTTGTCCTGCCCTGTTTTGCTGCTTGTACAAAGTGAGAAATGAACAGGCTATGCACACTTGCACAGTGCCTGTGCCTATCCTAGTTTATTAAGTAAGGATTTTTGACTTCCCATTATAGCCAGTGTATCCGGTACAGGCACTGATTCATTTTAGAGATTAAATTTAGGGATAATGTGCTTCTATTTAGATTATTGAACATCAACCCAGCTATTATTGCAGTATTTTTTACAAGTTTAATTTTTAAAAATAGTTGATTTTTATCCACTTTGTTCAAAAGTTGACCTTTTGACCTTCGTTCAAAAGTTCAGCATTACTCCTGAACTTGAAATTAATAGAAAGAGCTACAACTTTAATATTTCCAGAAATGAATACAGATACTCAGTTAATCATGCCCCATTAATCGTTAATCACGCACTATTCTGAGTGAATAACAAGGAATATGCATGTATTTACTCACTGTCATGACTTGGAGGACAAGTTCTAGCCTTTTATCTTATAGTTCATACACATTGTTATCATTAAAGAGCCACAGAGGTGAATTTTCACCTGGGACACTAAAAGCCATTTTTGTAAAGAGTGGTCACACACAGTCAATGCTATGTATGAGAGGGCCAATCTGTGTTTTGGGTTTGTCAAATGTAATGGGAGATCTCCAGGCCACATGCCGGCCACTCCAATTTACAAACAGTTGCGATTTCCAAGTGTTCTTTATATTTACAGCAAACATACTGCAACACCAAAAGTTCATGAAAGTATACAATAATTAAGTGATACACCACCACTTTGGTTTATTTTTCACATATATTAGGAGATACCTATGCTCTGTTATTTCTTGGTTAACTTAATATTTTGTGCAATAGGAAACAAGTCTGCAGATGATGAACTAAATGTAAGAGCCACCCTACTGGCATAAACTAAAGGCCCTTCCAGTCAAACAATCTGTTCCCAACATGGTGAACCACAGGGTTATAAGACATTAACACAAGAACACTTTCTTGCTTATGTTCCTCAGCAAGTGGCAATCAAAGACCCCCTGTCTCTGATAGTGTAGGTAACATATTGAGTGGGTTTGTACAACACCACAACCCCCCCTTCAAATAAGCTATGCTTATTGTGCGTTATTCTCATCCTCCTCTTTCCTTTCCTTTCCTGTCCCCATCTCTGCTCTGATCCCAACCCCTTATATACAGTCATAAAATCTGCATATTTCCTTGTTCCCCAAAAAGCTTTAAATTGCTAGATAGACTGAAAAAAGGAACCCAACCCAAGTTTTATCTATTTATTAATTTATTCAGAGCAGTTATACCCCTTCTTTTAAGTAAAAAGGCTCCCTGAATAGCTTACAAATCAATTAAAAAGCTAGATCCTGTTCTTGGGATTAGAACAAAGAACACCAAGAAAAATGGGAGGAGGGAAAGGGGAACTTTGCCACTTCTTGCTCAACCACCAGCAGCTCCTTTGCAAACTTGTCTGCTGCCTTGATATTTGCAGGTAGGAAGAGACATTTAACAGTGATCATATAAACCACCAAGATCATTTTAACCTTCTAATAGATCAGCCAGAACATTGGTAAAAGAGCTTCACTTCCTCAGTGCAAACAATGGATATCCACAAACAGTGGATACTCAACACAGTAGATTCTGAGGATGAAAATTTTCATTGCCTCCCCACCTATGAAGGGTCTATAAAACATTATCCTTCCAGCTACCATGAATGGTTTGTCCTGATAAGGGAGTTACTAAAGGTTACCCAAACACAGATTGTTCCTCTTGTACCTATAGCAAAAAAAGAAAGAAGTATGACCTAATGGTCATGTCAACATGCTAGTATGTTCGTAAGAGATGCCCATGGTGGTCACGAAATCATAAGTTGTCAAAGAAGCTTTGACTATTCATATCTCTAGTTATCAAAAAGCTTATCAAGTTATCAAAAAACACTGAGGACGACCTTAGTGAGCTTAGCCAGCAAGTCTTGTCAGGCAGCAGGGTAGGCAGTACATCAACAGAATTCTAGTAAGATGTATTTGATGGAACACAGGCACTTCCCTGACAGACATTTTACAAGTAATAAACCTAGTTGGCCTTCTCATCTAGGATCAATCAAAATAAATCACACCTTGGGAAACTCAAGTATTCCCTCAGCTTGGAAGTTTCAACTAATCAAAATTTGTCAACTCTAGGCATGCTCCCCTTTGGAGTTGAAACTTTATCTAGCTTCCATGCTTGGCAATGACATGCTTGATCACCACTGAAAAAGAGAAACAAGAAGATTCTAATATGTAAATATTTTATTTTTATGGTTGGCTACAATCCTTTACCAATGGTACCAAACTTAAGCTTCACTGGAACTAATGGGACTTTGTCCTTAGCAAATGCAGAAGACTATGACTACTTTCTATATGATATTTCTGCCATGACATTGATTATATAAAATATCAAACTAGCATTAAATATCCAAACTATTTAAAAAGTTAATATTTTAATCAAACAATTATATTTTATCACTAGTGATTAGCTGCCTAACTGCTAAATGTTTCTTGCTTTGAAAAGGGTTTTTAAAAAAATACTATTTTAATATCTTATTTGAAGAACAACTCCTTTTCAGCATGTCACCCAACAAAGAGTAATTCTAATATATTCCCTTTGTCTATTAGTAATCTTAAATAATGTTAACACAAGATATATTACAAGATACACAATTTATTTTTTCAAATGACTATCCAAACCAAAGGATAGTCAACTGGAATTGCACTGCTTGGGTTCTCAACCAGTGCAAACTGAAGATGCATATAAACACGTGTAATTTCAGTAGTGAGAACTGTGTAAGCAAATTCACTAAATTTTAAGCAGATCTACCTTTTTCCCACAGATCAAATTCAGGGAAAATGTGTTCTTCCAGTTCAGAGCTGAAATCATATTTATACAATCATGGCTGGCCAGCTGTGTCAAATCTTGAGGCTTGGCCTTTCCTGGAATATGGCTGCATACAGTGCTTGCTGGCCCTTGGGTTCATTACAAAGCTATTTTTCCACCACATCCACAGGTTAAATGTTTTTAAAATATTTTCAAAAAATAAAATGCTAGATGTTTAAGTAGTCAGCCATGTGGGTGCTACTGGGGGGGGGGGGGGAGCAGATAACCCACACAAAGCATAGGGTTAGAAATGCAACAATCACTATATAACTCAGAGCAAAGAGCATATGTTTTCTGAACTTCTTTGAGGCACAAAAGGAAACGCAGGAAAAAACAGCACTTGCTCCTGTTTCCATGTATGCCACCTGAGTTAGGAAGCAACTTAAGACAGACTTCTTTTATTTACTTATACACGATAAAATGTAGATTTTTAAGGTAAACTTCTAATAAATATAGTCTTTACATATGATTTACAAGCAGCATAATGCTAACTATATTACTGCATTAGTTTATGAGTCAGTGCTGAGTTATACGTACAAGTACAATTATACAAGTTTTTGCATTATACCCTGTAGCCATATTCTGTGCTGCAATGTACTACACTAAAGAGACACTATTAAATATTAGATAAAATAAAAACAAAAAAATAGCACTTTTTATTCTACTATAACAAAGCTGGCTATGGACATCTCTCTAATGTTTGACAGTTTCGAACTTCCATTTGAGCCTAGAGTTTAATAAGGAATCCCGTTATTATAGTTTTTTACATTTTTATTATGTTGATATGTCTAATTTCCAAAATGACAAATTAAAATCTATCTTAACTGGAATATCATGACATCCAAATAAATATTTTTCTTTTATTTAATACCTTCTTTGCCATTTTCTAATCCTTTAGCCATTGCAGATGTTAATTTCTAAACATCTTACCATTTTCTTTTATTCCATGATGTTTGATATCACTAGGTGTTGTAGTTTATACTGCGAGGCTGCTATAGCTCTTCTATCTGGAAATTGTACCATCCCTCACAACAGAAAAGAAAGAAGTATTTCACCATTTTCCTATTTAAGTCCAGGTAAGCTGTTGTTATGAAAGTAAACCCTCATCACTACATCTTTAGATACACTTCTTTACTGGGGTTGGTTCAAGAGATAACTGCCTTGTCAAGTCTTCAACACTTCTTCTTCAACATTCTCAATTAACTGAATTACCAAATGTAGCATACTTGTCTATGTGTAATAAACTATGTAGCCTTTTCCTTTTTGTCACAGATGCAGTCATAGTTCACTATAATTTTTCCAAAAAGGTGTAACACCACTTTCTTTAAGCATTGCACTACAAGGAAAAAAAGCCACTAAATATACTTTTACATTAAGTCAAACCACTCCTTTGCTGTATGTTCTTGTTAACAAAATATCATACAAAAAAATAACACAAAAAGCCACAACAAAACATAGAAAAGGTAATTGATCCAGCTACAAATTATGTCCAAAGTAAGAGCTGTCATATAACAAGCAAACCTTAGCAAAGAAATACCAATACTAAACCAAACTATTATGAGAACATTAATACCTGAACCTCTCAAAATACAGAAGTTCCACTTAGCCTAGAGAGCCCTTGGACTTACATGTCCCCCTCCCCTCTTTAATCTGAAACTGGCACATTCTCCAGCCCCTATGCAGTTAATCTTAGTGATGGTTAGTGAAACAAGAAAGTGCCATGAACTAGTCTGAATTGGACTTGTTTCTATTAATCATAGTTAAGATCAGTCAGAGTTTGTCTGGATTTGGGCAACATAGCAACCTACAATTAACCAAAAATAGAAGCAAAGGCTTCAGAACTCCTTCTTGTGGCTATGCCACAAAGGGAATGTACAAGCCAGTAGGAAGGCTAGGCTTAAGCTATAGCTCAGCATTACATCTTAACCACTCAATTCCTTATATAGAATTTCTCCAAATATCACAGTGCCTTCAATTTTAAAAATGGTTCCTGGTTATCTGAAATGTCATGCCTGTGTCTAAGGATCTGAAATACAATTTCAGTCTCTATGTCAAAGAATTCAGTGCTGAAGCACAGGGAAAAAAAATAATCCACTATTCAGTTCCATCCAGAATGCCAGGAATAATGAATTTAATGAAAGTCTGCATCAAACTTAATGTTTAAATTCAATATTTACTATTTTGTACTGAGTGCATATTAGGACCTGCAATAGAATATTTTACTGAACAAGTCAGCTAAAAGGTTTTGCTATCATTTGTCTACATTTTTTGAAAGAAAGTTTTATCAAAACTTGACTTGAAAATCACCATTTTATACTGTGGGAAAGGTGAACCACAATGGCTTCCCCAACCCACTTTTTTTTTTAATACACTCATCTGACAATCTTACCAAAGGTTGCCTTTAGGCTCAAATCCAGCTCCGGGTTTGAGCCTAGAACAATGGATATGTGTTTTTCCAAAGTTGCATAAATTTGTATACTTTGAGTTTTAATAGCATAGTTCTGTAACAGGTACTTACTAGCTGCCTCTTCTAATAATTATCTAATAATTTATTGTTTTGCATGTCATTTCTACTTTTAAAAAGCACAACAGAAATATCAACTGTCTTCGCCACCACTGCTTCCCGATACTAGTATCAGGGTAACGGTGGAGAAGAATAATTTAACATATAAAAGGAAGTGAAACTGAAGAAGTCAAATAGTTAAACTATATTTAGGATTCGTTATGTTACATATAAAACTAATTCCTAAACATAAACAAACAATGGCTCTTTAATCTTTCTCACTTTTCCATGCTAAATAGTTTTACATTTGTTCTTCCCAGTTCTGCTGACCTTTGCTCTCTTGCTAAACAAACACACATTTCTTGCCCTAACTGGTTATTTTTAATTGGACACGTCACACTGACTGCCTTGCTTGCTCCTCCCCTAACCCCAAGCTGTTATTCAACAAGAGAGCCGATCGGCTGAAGAAGTCTGCCAGTTTATATACCCTCCTCCCCAAACCAGAAAGCTAAAAATCATCCAAGTGTTCCCACATCTTTGAGAGGGGTGGAGAGAGACAAAGAGGGAGGGATAAAGTCAAATTATCTCCACTTGACTTCCTAAATTCTTCAGAAGACCCAATGAGAGTTATTTCCTGTTGTTCTATTTTTTTATATTTGCCCCCTGCCCCATGCTGTTTCTTCTCAAGATGCTGCTGTTTCCCACTAAGGAAGTGATATACCTGGGGAGGAAAGAAAAGGCCTCACAGATTAAAGACCCATATTTCTCTCTCTTTCATACATAAATACACAAACATCCCAAAATCCCAATAGTAAAGCAATCTGTTTTAAGATGAAAATGTAATACAAGGCCTAGTTTCCAAAAAGAATAGGCCTGATTGCTTATAACCCGATTCGAGTGAGCGAAGAGAAGCTGTAGAAGATTGAAGGGGGGGCGGCGGGGGGAAGGGAATAACAGAAAAAACAAAAGGAGTCAAGGAAGCGGGTTTGACTGTACTGGGGAAGGGGTAAGGTGCCATCCAAGCTATTTGGGAGTGGGTGACTTAGAGAGCTGCTGGTAGTGGCGTCAGTACTATTTGCCGAGGATGGGGGATACAAATCATTAGCAAGCGAGAGGTCCTGCATCAACTGGGATGCGGGGGTAGAAGGGCAAGGGCGATTCAACACGTCACGGGAAGACGGATTTACTGGTCCAACTGTTGGTTTAGGAATGCGGGGGTGGACGGGAGAGGGAATCCTAGGTTTGTGTCTACCTATCCAAAAGAAACAATCCAGCCTCTTCACCATTTCGCGTTTTTGTGGACCAATCTCCCTAGCATAGCTAGGAGTTTGCCTGCAAGTCTCTGTTGGAGCGGAGGGGCTGGGAGGGGGCTGGGGTGGTGGCGGCGGCTTCGGCCTTGTCTGTTGTCCCCTCCTCTCACCTTTGTAGTGGACGCGCAGGTTGTTCTGCGAGAGGCCGATGTAGCTAAATTTGTCCTTCGGGCTCCATGAGCGGGGCAGCGGCGTTTCCTGCTCGTCCACGGCCGGGTACAGCCGCTTCAGGCGCCGCTTGAGCTCCTTCTCTTGCTCGTTGAGGGCCGGGTCGCCACCGTGAGGGTACGGGGCCGGGGCGTTACTACCGCTCCCGGTAGACATGGGCCCAGCTGAGGTGGCGACGGCTGTTGTTGTCGTTGCTGCCGCTGCCGCTACAACCGGCGGCGGAGGGGGTGGCGGCGGGGCCGAAGTGGCCGGGGGTGGCGGCGGCGGAGGTGGAGGGTGAAGTAGAAGCGCGGCCGAAGCCGGCGAGGAGGTAGGGTTGCCCGGCGCTTGAGGAGCCGTCGCCGGCAGTTGCTGCTGTTGCTGCCCGGACATACCGGCCTCGTCCGCTGTCGAAGTGAGCGGAGACAAGGTTTGAAGAGGGTGTTTGTACCAACAGCCCTGAACCGGAGTGACAGTCTGAGCGGCGGGGAGGGGGGGGGACACGCTGGAGGAGGAGGAGGAGCAGCAGCAGCAGGCGGCTGCGGCGGCGGCGGCGGCACGATTGAGGAACCCGACTGAGCTCGCGCGAGTACGAGAAGGGGGTTGGAAACGACGAAAGTGATGACGAGCCGGCGCGGGCGAACGAGTGCGCGCCTGGCTGCCTGTGTCTATACGCGCGCGCCTCGAACAGGCGAAGTTGCGCGCGCGCGCGCGAGACGGCGGGGGCGGGGACTGTGCGCGCCAGGCGCTGTCGCTTCTGGCCCTGTGAATCGTCGCTGTGGCTCTCGCGTAGCGGTCCCGCAGAACAGCTGAGCTGCGCGGCGCCAGCCGGGGCGGCGCTTGCCTTCCTGTGACACGGGACGCGCGAGGGCGGCGTCGGGTCTCGGCCTCCTTGCGAGCGAGAATGGGCGGGCCACAGGCACCGGGGAAGTGGGGCGGACGGGTGGATGCTGCGCGACCGCGGGGACTGCCCCGGGTGGTGGCTTGCGGAGGACCCGGGCATCCTTCGTTCAAGCTGTCGTCAGGGTAAAAAGGAATTGTTTAGGAATGTATCCGCCGTTAATCCTGTTAGATTAGACCTATTGAAACGAATGGACCGAAGTTAAAATAGTATCAGATACAATGAAAAGCTCTGCGCAATGAAGAACTAACACTTTCCCTTCTCTCCCCCTTGCCAATTAAAAGTTGCAGCTGGGAAAAGAGGGCGGAAATAAGTGACATAGCAAGAGAAATATTGGAGACCATAGAAGAGGCAAATGTGGAAGGAGGGTAGGATAACCCTTTCCCTATATGCTTAAATAAACGAATCGATAGTTCATATTAAACACTGAATTGTAAATGCGTTTTTTTCGAGATAAGTCCTCTCGATTTTAAAAATGAAGTTAAAGATTTCCTCAAGCATGTGTAAGTCCCTATTTTAATTTACAATGTATGATTCAGTTATACTTTCCATAGGTATCTGACCTTCACTGGGATGCAGCAGCTTGCAAACAGTAATTTTGAGTAAAATATGCTGGTAGGTATGAGTTGGTTCACAGTTTGACACCAAAACTGAGTATAAAAGGATCAGGGGCAGGGAATACCCAGCATATATTTTTCTAGAAAGTAATATCTAACAAAAGAATCATATTTATTTATTTAAGACTTTTGTATGCCGTCCCTTAAACATGGCATCTCAGGACGGCTTACAATCATTAAAACAACCACAATAAAACAGCAATAAATAACAATCAACCAAAAAATACAAATTAAATAAGTTAAATAAAAGCAACTGTTAAACATTAAAATTTAAGTTAGCTTTTAAAATAACAGTTAAATAAAAAGGTTTTAACCTGGTGCTGAAAAGAATATTAACTCGGCTCCATGCGAACCGCTCCAGGGAGTGCATTCCACAATCTGGGTGCCACCACAGAGAAGGTCCTCCTCTGAGTAGATACCCTTTTTACCTCCTTCAGGGAGGGTTCTCGGAGCAGGACCTCTCCCACAGAGCTTAAGGGGCATGGAGGCATATAAGGCAGGAGACATTCCTTCAGGTATCCCGGTCCCAAGCCATTCAGGGCTTTATAGGTCAAAACCAGCACCTGGTCTGGTTGGGCCCGGACTTCAACTGGAAGCCAGTGGAGCTGATAGAGGACTGGCATTATATGAGGATAATGACCAGTCCCTATTAGCAACCTGGCTGTTCTATTCTGTATCAGCTGAAGTAACCAGATGGTTTTCAAGGGCAGCCCCACGTAGAGCACGTTACAGTAATCCCAACAGTAGAGCGTGTTACAGTAAATCAAATATTTACTGTAGCCAGTGTGGTGTAGTGGTTAAGAGCATGGGACTGGGACTCAGGCGATCTGGGTTCTAGTCCCCGCTAAGCCATGGAGCCAACTGGGTGACTTTGGAACAGCCAGACTCTCAGCCCAACCTACCTCACAGGGTTGTTGTTGTGGGGATAAGATGGAGGAGGAGAATGATGTAAGCTGCCTTTAGCCCGTTGTAGGAAAAAAGCAGGATATAAATCGAAAAATGAATAAACAAATAAAATATCTGGAAGCAAATCTCAAAGGCATCTTGATATCTAGTAATCTATTTGAAAAGTCTACAAACTTCATTTTATGGACAGAGTTACCCTCACACCAAGAATATATGTCTTTGAGCAGATCCACAGTATTCCAAATCTTCCATTCTGAGCTTGTTGCCATTTCCCATCATGTAGTTTTCATTTGTGCCATTCAGATATTTATAACCAGTTCAAGATGATTTGGCCTGAGTAGTTAATATGAGTAACATGCAGCTGGTTCCTATGTATCTTACATTTTATTATTATTATTATTATTATTATTATTATTATTATTATTATTATTATTACATTTCTATGCCGCCCCTTGCCGAAGCCTCAGGGCGGCTTACAACACAATAAAATACATTGAAATACAATAGAACATAATAAATTACCATTAAATACAAAAATACAAAAATACACTGAGTTACGAACATAATAATATAGAATTAAAATTATCAGTATAAAATAAGTAAATAATATAGGAGGAGAAAAGAGAAGGAAGAAGAAGTTGCCCTGGCCAGATCATATATTTTAACAATTAAAATGATGTTTAAATAAAAAGGTCTTTACCCGGCGCCGAAAAACCAGTAACGACGGTGCCAGGTGGACCTCTTTGGGGAGTGAATTCCATAGGTTGGGTGCCACCGCAGAGAAAGCCCTCCTCCGAGTACTTACTCTCCTAATTTCTTTCATGGAGGGTTCCTGGAGAAGGGACTCTCCCGCAGATCTCAAAGGGCGGTCGGGCATATACAGACGTAAGCGCTCGTTCAGGTAGCCAGGACCCAAGCCGTTTAGGGCTTTATAGGTCATAATCAACGCCTTGAATTGGGCCCGGGCTTCAATGGGAAGCCAGTGAAGCTGACGGAGGACTGGAGTCATGTGAGCATAACGTCCCGTCCCTGTCAGCAACCTGGCAGCTCTATTTTGCACCAATTGAAGTGTTCGGACCGTCTTCAGGGGAAGCCCCACGTAAAGCGCGTTACAGAAGTCTAGGCGGGAAGTCACCAGCGCGTGTGTCACCGTCACCAGGCAGTCGTACTCCAGGTAGGGGCGCAGCTGATTAATCAGCCGAAGCTGAAGGAAGGCGTTCCTCGCTACCGCTGTCACCTGAGCTTCCAAAGAAAGCTCCGGGTCGAGGAGTACTCCTAAGCTGCGGACCTTGTCCCTAAGAGGGAGTGTTGCACCATTCAGGACCAGGTCAAATCCACCCTCTCCAAAGCCCGATCCGCCAACCAACAGGACCTCCGTCTTGTCTGGGTTGAGTTTATTGGCCCTCATCCATTCCATTACCTCAGCCAAGCACCGGTTCAGCACAGCCACTGCCTCACCTGGATTAGTGGAAAACGAGAGGTAGAGCTGGGTATCATCAGCGTATTGATGATTCCGCAGCCCACACCTCCTGATGACCTCTCCCAGCGGTTTCATATAGATGTTAAATAGCAGAGGGGATAGGATGGAGCCCTGTGGTACTCCATGGCATAGCTGCCATGGCGCAGAGACATGGTCCCCCAGCACTACCTTCTGGAATCGACCGTTGAGATAGGAGCAGAACCACTGCAAAGCAGTGACTCCAACCCCCAATCCCACTAGCCTATCCAGAAGGATACCATGGTCAATGGTATCGAAAGCCGCTGAGAGGTCCAGAAGAACCAACAGGGATGCACTCCCCCTGTCCTTCTCCCTGCACAGGTCATTGTACAGGGCGACCAAGGCAGATTCAGTACTGTACCTGGGTCTGAAGCCGGACTGAAAAGGATCCAGATAATCAGTTTCATCCAAGAGTGTTTGGAGTTGTCCCGCCACCACTCGCTCCAACACCTTGCCCAGAAACGGGATGTTGGCCACAGGTCTATAGTTAGTGGCCATCTCTGGATCCAGTGACGCTTTCTTCAGGACCGGTCGTATTACCGCCTCCTTTAAAGGGGCAGGCACTCGACCCTCCCTCAGAGAAGCGTTAACCGCTTCCAAGATCCAGGTCCCAATCCCGTGCTTGGAGTTATTTATTAACCAAGACGGGCAAGGATCCAATAGGCAAGTGGTGGGACGTACTCGTCCAAGCACCTTGTCCACATCATCGGGCCGCAATAATTGAAATTCCTCCAATAATTTTGGACCAGACGGTAGCATTGGCGTCTCCCCAGAGACCTCTGATTCATTAGTGGAGTCCAGCTCGTGACGAATCTGAGCGATTTTCTCCCTGAAATGCCTGGCAAAGTCGTCACAGCGGGCCTTTGAGGGTGGCATCGGATCTTCCTTAGGACCCGGGTGAACCAGGCCTTGTACCACTCGAAAAAGCTCCGCCAGACAGCATTGTGAGGAGGCAATGGAAGCGGAAAAAAACTTCTTTTTCGCCGCCTTCACCGCCACAGCATAGGCCCGATAGTGGGCTCTCAAGTGTGTTCGGTCAGATTCATCCCGTGATTTCCTCCACCTACGCTCTAGTTGTCTCCCAACCCGCTTCATCGCCCACAATTCAGGTGTATACCAAGGGGAAGAGCAGACTCTGCCCGGTGGGAGAGGACGCTTGGGAGCGATCATGTCCACAGCCCTGGTCATCTCTCCATTCCACAGTTTGACCAGAGCCTCGACAGGAGCACCAGTCTTGTCAGCTGGAGACCCCCCCAGGGCCTTCAGGAATCCATCCGGATCCATCCGGCTCCGGGGGCAGGCCCATACAATCGGGTCCGCACTCTTATAGAGGGAGAGGCTGCTCTCGAGCACAAACCTCACCAGGAGGTGATCTGACCATGACAGGGGAGTCAAACATAAGTTCCTCACCCTCAGGTCATCCTCTTCCTGCCCCATCGAGAAAACCAAGTCCAGAGTGTGTCCACGTTCATGGGTCGGGCCGATGACGTGTTGAGACAGGCCCATGGCCGTCATGGAGGCCATGAATTCCTGAGCCGCCCCGGTCAGTCCAGACTCGGCATGCAGAAGTGCCGTATTTTTTGCTCTATAAGACGCACCTGACCATA